TTTGCCATCGGGGTTGGGTTTTCGTCGCTTGGCAACGACGTTGTAAAACAAGCCAATTCACGTCGTGAACTCGGCAACCAGGATATCGTTTGGTTTTTACCTCAGTTTTTTTTTGGCGGTANTTCTTGTCAAAATGAGGATCAGAATGATGGTAGCGAAAACAAGGAGGATACTGGTGAAAGTACTCCTAAACGGATTCGAGTACTAGGTAATTGCCTTGGTAGACGGGTGCAGTTTTCTTTTGTTGCTGCTGTTTCTGTTTTTGATCCGAAGGATAGTTTAGCCTCCCCCATCCTGCCCCCTGGTGTTTGCCATCGGGGTTGGGTTTTCGTCGCTTGGCAACGATTTTGTAAAAGAAGCCGCCCGCCCCGGTGTTTGCCATCGGGGTTGGGTTTCTTCGCTTGGCAGCGATGTTGTAAAACAAGCCGATCATATCGTGAGCTTGGCAACCAGGTTAACGCTTCTTTTTTTTTGCCTTTTTGCGGTAACCATGGATGGTGGCCGAGTAGAATATGTTGTGTGGGGTCGAGAAGCCTCACTCCGCGCAAAGGGGATAATCGCACAACGTTGCGTAAAGTAGGTCAAGCACCCTCGAGGCGGTTACACAGTACTTACAACTGTCTCTGGAAGTGAATCCACCAGAAAATAAATTAAGTCATACGCAGCTGTCATCTGTACGCAAGGAAGTAAGGACAAGATGCCGAACACCCTAAGCAGGATGCAGCGCACCCTTGATGCGACTCGCCGAATACGTCACGGCGCTTTTGCGCTTGGCGATGTGAGAGCCTGGTGCGGTGAGATCCCGGCGTGCTCCGTCCTGGCTTTGTGGGGATGCGAGGTCAATGGTCTAACGACTACGGCATGCACGATTGTGAGTACCCCCCCCCCCCCCCCNCCCCCCCCCCCCCCACCCACCCCTCCCCCCTCGCGTAAGGTGGAGCTGCTGGTTTCCGAGACGAACGAGAGGTCGCTGAGTACCACTCTTCTAATCACCCCTGATTTCTCGCTCAACAACGCCGAGGCCTTTGAAGTCATCGGTCAGACGTGAGTCCCAGCAAGGCGTGTCAAGAGTGTGGGTACCCGTGTTCTACGGTATTCGGATCTGTGAAGGTGATTTTTTGGTTCGGTGTGGTTCGCTCGGCTGGTGGAGTCGAAACATGTCAGCTGTGTGAGCTGTTGAGCTTGGCAAAAGTCACAACCAAGGGGCGGCTGTCGGCCAGCTGTGGGCTGGTGTTGCTGCCTGTGTTTGTTGTGTCATCTTGCATGACACGGTGCTCTCATGAGCCCTACCCGGAGGGATCATTCATAAATGCGGGTTTGAGTGCTGTATGTTGTGTGAGCAGATCTCTGGTGTGGTTTATCCAAAAGGTTGCCACGAAGCGTAGAACTCTGCCGTATTTCACGAGTAAACTCTGATGCTGTTCATCCAAAAGCGTTGCCACTGAGTGTACAACTCTGGTGTGATTCATCCAAAGGGTTGACCCTTGCGTGCAGAACTTTGGGGTGATTCATCCGAAGGGTTGACACCAAGCGTAGAACTCTGATACTGTTCATCACAATTGTTGACATCCGGCCGGGCGCCGTTGTCGTGGCTCCTACGTCTCCGCGAGTGTTGTACATCGTCCTCGCGGTAATATTTAGTTTCATCTTGGAAGTTCATTTTTTGAAGAGCAAAGAATGAGGCATCACCGGATAGAGTTCAGAACGAACGTTCTTTGAACGTCAACTCGATGGAATCAAGGACATAAAAGGAAGCACCCCTTTTTGCGTAAGTCTGCCAGAATCCCGCACCACTTGAATTGCACCGACGATCACTCGATGTTTTGTTTTTCCTTCCCTCCTCCTGGTGTTTGCCATCGGGGTTGGGTTTTCGTCGCTTGGCAACGACGTTGTAAAACCAGCCGCCCCCCTCGGTGTTTGCCATCGGGATTGGGTTTTCGCCGCATGGCAACGACGTTGTAAAACAAGCCAAGTCACTTCGTGAACTCGGCAACCAGGTTACAGGGTTTTTTCTTTTAACTCCGGTTTTTTTTTTGGCGGTAACCATAATGGTCGTCCAGTAGATCGTGTTGTGCGGGGTGAACCCTCACTCCGCGCAAGGGGGATGATCGCACCACGTTGTGTTAAAATGGTCAAGCACCCTCGAGGCAGTTACACAGTGCTTACAACTGTCTCTGGAAGTGAAAGCACCAGAAA